CCCCGGCGGCATTGCAGGAGGTGGGAGGGGAGCAGAGCTCAGAGGGGCTGCACAGGCTGGGACACGGGATGGGGAGAGGGGCTTAGGACACCGAATGGGTTTTCCCCCCGCCCTGTAGGTGAGTCAGAGTTTCCCAAAGGCAATGCTCATCCCGAAAAGCAGGGGATTTTCAGGAACACGGTCCTCTGGGGCACGTTCCCCTTGGGGGAATAGTGCCGTAGGAGCTGGGCTGGGCTGGCAGGGAGGAGGAAAGCCGTGCTCCCGCACGCTCCCCGCAGAGCATCCCTCCCCGCATGGACCTCGGCGATGTCCCTGCTCTCCTCTTCTGCAGGGGGCAGAATTACTCCGCGAGAGCGTGTCGGCGGGGGAAATGCTGCAGATATTTATTCATCTGGTTACTCAAGGAAACCCTCAGCCACCGTCCCAGGGGCCTTAAGCAGAGAGGTGGAAAGGCTTCAACAGGCTGGGGCCAGCGCGTCCATCGTAGTATCGTTGCTGCATGCCATGTTGTCTTCCGGCCCCTCAAAGACCCTCTGTAGGGCGACCTGGAGGGATACCAAGGGGCAGCGCCTCCGGCAGCTCCCCACCAAGAAATAGATGAAGGGGTTGATGCTGCTGTTGATGCAGGCGAGCAGGAAAACAACCTGGGAGGGCACGTTGGTGTAGCTGAACTGCTGCAGGAAATTCCAGATGCTGAGGGGAAGAGCGAAGAGGAGGAAGAGGAGGACGGTGAGGAAGATAGCGATGTAGAGCCTCTTGGGTTGGTGCTGCTGGGAGCCACACTGGACCTTAATGAAGAGAATTGTGCTAGAAATGACCATGGGTGGGGCAAAGATGAGGAAGTTGAGGACGTACATGGAGATGAGAGCCATCTGGCAGTGCTCGTGCTCGTGCAGCAGGCACAGAGAAGTCACTGCAGCAATGACGGTGATGGAGAGGGCCCAGAGCAGGGCACACACCAAGGCCGACAAGCACTGGGGATGGCGGATGCTGGAGCAGAGGATGGACACGCACCTCTCGATGCTGATGGCCGTCAGGAGGTACAGACCCATGTTGTAGGAGAACAGCGAGAGCAGGAAAAGCAACCTCAGGTACATCAAGGACACAACAGTGGAGCAGGAGACATTCTGCATCACGTAGAGGAGGGCCGAGGTGACCATGAAGAGGAGGAAGGCGAAGTTGGCGATGGCCAGGTTGAGGATGTAGACGGTGATGGGGTTCCTGCGGATGCGGAAG